GTCTAACTGGGAGGCATTGTCTTGCCTTGAAGCTGTCCGCGGTCCCTAGACAATATTAAAATATTTTCGACGCAATTATAGATTACGCACCAGTTGTCGATGATCACCAGCCATCACTACTATTGGGACTTCATCAACATACGACATGTCAGGCAAAACTACCCTCAGAGGGACCACTGTCTCCGGCTCAGTACCCTGTACAGCTTCATCGATCAGCAGTGCACTCCAATGTAGCGTCCGTTGCGAATTTCCAAATGCCTCCATCATATATCCTTCTATCTTCCCCAGGGACTTATTACTGCATTGCGCCTCATTCAAGATATTGGCATCCCTGCAAGAGCAAACGACTATTTTGTAGTTCATTAAAACCTTGAATTCTGGAATAACGAACATATCTTGCGAATCCACGCATTCGATAGCACAGAATGCGAGTAATTCCGTCGGCACCTCGGCGAATGCTCGTGTAAAGTGATTTAACCGGAACAGTTCCTTATTATTCAGACGCAGACGTAGTCGCAGAGCTAGTGTATCTGCAGCAGCATCACTGGGAGCGCACAATAAGATGTGGCACCGTGGTGACACTTTGACCAGCTGCAGGGCGAGCTCGACCATTGTTTTTGTTTTACCAGTTCCCGGTGGACCGGAAATCAAAAATGGCACGTCACCGTAATTGCGCTTCAGAATCGAATCAATGGCCCGTTGCTGTTCGTAGTTGAGGTCGTTGTCGTACCACTCGAGATCAAAAACACCACTGGACAAAGTCGTTTGCATAATTCCATCTTCATTTTCAGGAAATAGCATTTTCCGAGCAAATCCCTGAATTGCATTACTACTGGTATCTGAACATAAACTAAAATGAAAGACTCATACCGATGGCTCAACCTGCATCTCGTCATGTAACTTCTCGACAGCATTTGCACATTTTGAATGGAATGCTTCATCTAAGACAAATTGCACGTTAAACTTGTTCGACTCAAGAAGCAATCCGTCGATTCGAACGATGACTTCTCCGTTGCCTCTATCCATGTGCCAAATGTACCCTGAGTGTTCGTATCCTGTAAATGCGAGGTTCTCATATGCTGAATATTGTGGTCGAAGTTGTCGGAATAATAGAAGATCACCAATTGACACTGACGGCGTGAATTCTCGAATACCATGGCATTTTAGCTTGAATAATGCCTTTTCGTAGTCACTCTCTTCTAGACACACGCCGTACATGTCGTATGTTTTTAGTTCCATTTTTTGTGCTTTGATCTCCATGTCAATCAGCTGGGCAAGTTTGGAGTTGTATGTAGATGCTGAAAGATCCGGCCACCGAGTGGTGACTGCCGGCGGTTCATAGCGGAACGGTGGAATTACTTCTCGAGATACTAATGCTAGGCTAGCAAATCCGTCGACATAGTTTTTGAGACAAAAACCTGGAGGCTCAGTCGACTCTGTTCTCAATGCAGAAAACGTGTTTACATTCTGATGCCATTAGTCGCCGAAATAAATTTTGGCAAACAAGAAATACCTTAAGCCAGGCGGGAATAAATCTATTCGCATAAATGTCTGGGGCCCACTCATTTTGTGTATCTTTCTGCTCTATGCTCAACATGGTTGGCTGACTAAGTGTTGGTGCAACTTGCTGCAGATTCGGCGAAATTCTGGCATCTGAGGCTAGTTCTTGTGTAATCTCTGGCAAGGGACTTATAGGAGATTTGTGAATTTTTGATACAGGGGTATTAATACTTGTTCGCGAAGTGTCTGATACTGATCCATTCATGACTGGCGGCATCACTCTCTGAGGAATACCATACTGATATGAGCTGCCATTGGAATTAGCATTTATTAACTGTGTGCCATTCATGCGAAGTTGTGACATATTCCGTTGCAGCTGCGTAAATCGCGTATGTTGCTGTGGCTGCTGTGCGTGTGCACCTCGTGCTCCGTCGCCGCTGCGATAAGTGTTTGGCGATGTCACCGGTCGCATGCTTTGCATAACCGTGTGAAGATGTGCACGAAATGACATTATGATATTGTAGAGCGACTGACTGGGGCTGCATGTATAAATAGCATTCAGCTGATTTAGGACGTCCATCTGACTTCGAATAAACGCGGAGTCAGTCGCGTTTGCTGGAATCACTTCACTCGCCTGATCCGTCCGTAACTGAAGATGAAACAGTTCGTTAGACATGAGTTGCTTGTTCGCAGAAGAAAGCTGTTGCAGTTCAAGCTTTTGTTCGACATCGGACGGCGGTGTTGTCCGGACGTGCGGAAGCCTTACAGCGACACCGGGAGGCACTGGGATGTATGACTGTGGCGGATCGAGTAGAGCAACGACATGTGGCTCTCTGTTCTCGCTGGATGGAGCGGTCGCTAGGGAGGTGTATAGTGGGAGTGGAGTATTGACGGATGGACTGGTAATTACAGGACTGCCGAGTGGAGGTCCCCCTGCACCTGGCATTGCAGGCCCCACGGGAGGTCCATACGCAACACCGGGCGGAACACCAGGGATACCAGGAGGAGCGACTCTGGAAAATGCTAGGCCAGGAAAGGGAGGAATAAACGTGATCGGCAGCTGTTGCATAAGTTTTGAATCTTTGCGAACGGGTTGATCCTCCACAATTACTATGATCCGCTGTTTAATGGAGTCAGTTATTGTTATTATTTGTCAGTATGTAGTCCCTTTTGCGGTTCCTCGCCCTGTATTCCTGAGGGTTGATTCTTCTGCGCAATTACTTCTGTAATTAGGAACAGTAGAGCTTGCTGTTTCATATGGGATGTTAGGGAATTGCACGAGGTGACTAATGAATCTAGCCGATTTAATTGGTCAGACTAATGATAACGGAATTGATTGCTCACTACTGTGCTGAAGCGCGTAGACAGTCTCGAGGGAAATAGATAATCGGCCGTATTATGATTTCGCGATTCGCACGGGATGTGGGGCATCCTAGTCAGTCGGTAATGCTCGCCTAGCCTTGCATCTTATCTGTAAGCCGCGAGCGGCTCCGTCGAGTTAGAAATTTACAAATGATTTTACGGGACACTTCGCTACTGTTCTACGTTCTAGTTGTATTAATGACAACAAGGCTTACCTACGATTTTGGTAATAGCACATAGTGACAACAACCAGAGTCAATACAATGTCGTTTGTCCATTATCGCTAGAATATACTGCATTGAACAATGATGACCAATCTTTACGAATTATCTCTAAACTAAAGTAATGTCGGCACAATGATGTGAATACAAACCAATCGATTAACAAAAACTAATCCACATCTAGACTATAATGATCCTGGTCCACGTTACTCTTTGGGAGCGAAATCAGGACCAAATGTGCCCTCCGCAGTGTTGAACTGAGCATTCTTGTGCAACTTGGACATAGCGAAAACGTCCTCGATGTCCAGAACGATGATCGTGAAATTCTCCCTGATACGCTCAGTATGAACACTCTTCGGAATAACGGAGTTTCCCAAAACAATCTGAAAAGAAATCAAAATCTGGTTCGGGGTGGCATTATACTTTTCCGCAATCCTCTTCACAACAGGATCGTCAATCAGCCTGCCCTTAATACCCTTCTCTTTTAGCTTATCTTTGTACGTTGGATTCAAGTTACCGAAAGGAGAGTAGGCGGTAACGTGAATCCCATGGTCCTTGGCAAGCTCTCTGATGTCGCCACGGATGTCGTACGGGTGAAGCTCGACCTGCGTAGCGGCAGGAACAATATCCGAGTTCTTCAACAGTCTATTCATTTGGCCGACCGTGAAGTTGGAAACACCAATATTTCTCACTTTCTTTGTGTCCTTGAATATCCTCTCCATGGCCTTCCAAGTGACAACATAGTCTGTGCCCAATGGATCAGCAACACCATGTCCATTCTCATCCTTAGGGAATAATTCTGTGCCAGGTTTCAATGCGACCGGCCAGTGCATGTAGTACATATCTAGGTAATCAGTCTTCAACTTTTCCAGACTCTTGCTGAGAGCGGGGAGAACATCCTCTGGTCTGTGAGAATTGCACCATAGCTTACTGACCAGAAAGATCTCGGATCGTGGAACACCGGACTCCTGAATGGCATCACCGATAGCCTCTTCATTGTCATCTAGATGAGAGTTAATCTGTGCCAGTATAATAGTGCTGGCAAGTCATACAGATGGTAGCCGTGTCAATGTGACGGTAGCCGATCTTTAGCGCTTCCTTAACAGCATACTTAACCTGTTCCGGCTCAGATAGCCAGGTACCGAGGCCAATTGCTGGGATAGTAGCGCCGGTGTTGAGCTTGAAGTACTTCTCTGTAGGGTCAGCTATATGCGTGTGGGTCTGCGTAGTAGTCATTGTGCAAATGCCGTACAAATTTGCAAATTGTGAGATCGAACGTATGAGGAGTGAAATCTTCAGACCGTGCGATAGAACGCAAACTGCTAGAGTACGGGAATAGCAGAGATGCAAGTTTTGTTACTTTTAAGTGTGCATCCTTATTGAAGGATGACGTCGACAGTTGCAGAGCATTGCCAGATATCGCAACCGAGGGCAGAATTAGACTCGACGATGCGAACAGAGCGTGGTTTCAGGCGTTGATCATAAATCTAGGCAATCCGGCGAGGGGTAGGTCGCGGTGTGCCCTGTGGGATCGCGTCAGAAAAATGTAAATGTTGTCAAGGACGGCCATGATCGACGTTCCAAACATTGCCGTAATTTTCTAGAAGAGCAACAGTCATCACAGACGCCACTGTATCGATCTGGGGGATGGGGAACAAAGAACAGGCAAAAGAAGTAGGGATGGTCCGGCATACTATAATCATCACTATGTCATTATTGCCATATTTGTCGCTATAGTTGCTGTCCATAGTTTGTTTTGTCATCGCTTTCGCAATAACAGTATATGTAAGATGAACAATGGACATTCTGGAGAGTAAACCAACCAATCCTCTTTACGATATTATTCGTATTTGACGGCTTTTTTCTCTCTCTAGTAATAACAACCCAAATAGTAGTTTGTAACGCACCAAAAAAAATTGCGATGTCTGTGGATCGAACACAGGACCTTCAGATGACAACAACCGAAGTTTTCGCTTCAGTCTGACGCTCTCCCAACTGAGCTAACCCCGCAACTACTTATGATCTCGAATAGATTGTATCCCTGTTGAAGTATGTGCTAGGGTTAGGGTGCAAATTAGAAGGAGGTGCCGCTATTATTTGCAATGGCTTTACTTTGACTTGTCGAAAGGCAGTAGAGTATTTTATCATGAGATTTTGTAGAAGCTTTATGGAGATTGGTGTGAGCGATGATTCTCGTGTGTTTTCGTCAAGCAGTTAAAGCAATGCCAGAAGCCCAGAACGCGTCGAAACCTAACCTCAAGTGACTTTCGACGCGTAACGTCCGCGCAGCACGGCGGTGTCTACAAAGCCTTCCGAACCTCAGCGGATATCAACATACGAAAACACCAGTTACTTCATACTATTTAGCAACGTAGAACGAGCAACTAATCAAACAAGATTTGACGGGTGATCACTTAGCCGAGGACCGTGCGACTACTAGATGCCAGCACGCACACTCACTCGCAGTCATCAGCGAGCGTCGACGATGTCTTCGCAAGGCTCTACAGATTTTCCGCCCGCGCCTCCAATGACAGCCTCGCGACAGGTCGTGAAACCGATTGACAGTGATGAAGAAATGGACGAGGAAGAGGAGCTAATGAGTGTTACTGGCATTATTGACAAGGCGAGTCTAAAGAGACGAAAGAATGCGACCGCGTCGTTCACATCCGCGTCTGACTCCAGGCGATATCCAAGTGCGTAATTTAATAAATGTATTGTGCTAGAGATGCTTGCAATAACAGTTTGCTGGAGAGATCTCGACTCTATAGGAGATAAACTGACATGTGTCTGTTTAGAGCGCAAGCGTGGTGTCTCGTCGCGATCGGACTTATACAAGGACCGAGAAGCAGCAGAAGAGCAAACTTCAGATGCTGACGACGAAGATATGGCAGATGTAGTTGAGGAGGCGGCTTCTAGCGATGCTAGCAATACTTCACCGGCCACCTCTGCCAGACGGCTACCCCGGCCTTCGAATGGTGCGCCTACAATACTCAACTCGTCAGATAAAGCTGCTACCACCAAAAACTCGGCTTCAAGTGGCCGCAAACGAGCGAGCGTTAGCGGGGGAATCCAGGAGGATGGTGGCGACGTAAACGCGTTATTTGGTGCGTGCCTTGTGATGCATACAAGTTAGATTCTAACATGTCGCGCAGAGGCGGTGAAAGATGCTGGCACAGCTTTAGAAGAAACTGCGGCAGACTGGATTCAGAACTATGAAAAGAATAAAGTTCAGGCTATGATGGAAATGGTCAATTTTATCCTACAAGTACGTAATTTGGAATGACTTTATGTCCGACAGATATTGACTGACATCCGTAGTGCTGCGGATGCCATTCCTCCGTAACAGCCTACGATATTGAGGATCAAGATTCCGTTACACAAACTTTAGCACAAATTCAAGATGTTTTCGGCAAAAAGAAGATGAGCGACTATCCACTTGTGTCTAAGCGGCCTGAGTTCAAGAAGTTCCGAAGCCATCTTGTCGACTTTTTCGTAGCATTTATTGACAAGGGCTCTGAGCGTGAAACATTATACGAGGACGATTCACTTATGGAAAGTATCCAAATTTGGATTACTGCGATGTCCAGCTCGACACTTCGCCCATTCCGATATACTGCTACCACAGTCGGTCTTTCTATTCTCACCGCCCTGTGTAACGCGGCTGCCGATATAGCTAAAGCCACAGGAAGATCAACGAAGCTGCTGGAGAAAGAGAAAATTAAGCCCAGACCCGCAGTTGCCAAGTTACAGAAACTTCAGGCTACAGTTGACGGTTATGCACAAAAGACAGAGACCCTCGAGAATCTCATAAGTGACCTATTCGACACTATTTTCGTTCACAGGTACCGCGATATCGATGCAAAAATTCGAACTGACTGTATCCGCGAGCTAGGAAAATGGATGCAGACGCTGCCTGATGTCTTCTTCGAGGGCGCCTACCTCCGCTATATGGGTTGGATACTCTCTGATGCAAACGGCAGTACCCGCCACGAAGTCGTCAAGGGCTTGACTAAACTCTACAAGGATAACTACTTCATCGGTGGTCTGAGACAGTTTACGGAGAGATTCACTTCTCGGCTTGTGGAAATGGCGACACATGACGTTGATCATTCTGTTCGCATTGCGGTTATCGATTTATTGGATGCAATTAGGGCAGTTGGATTCCTAGAACAGGAGGATATTGATACGGTTTGCGGGCTAGTGTTTGACACGAATCCTCGCGTTCGTAAGGCAGTTGTTGGCTTCTTCATGGCTAACATCAAAGAGATTGTAGCTGAAAAGTTGACTAACATCGGTGACGTTGGGGATATTCGCGAATACTTATCTGGCGAAGTGGCAGATGAAAGTGATGTCGCCTCTGCTGAAGAGGGCGGCAGAGACGAAAATATGGTCTCGAGATCCTGGTTCACACTAAAGTCTATCATTGAGGTTTTGGAGTCTTACAATCCTCAGTCTCTTGGAAATCCCATTCATATGTCCAAACTGGAGATACTGATTGGTGGGCGTACTGAGTCTCGATTCTCAATTGCTGCGCAAGCTTTATGGAATGTTGCCCAATTATCGGTACGTTTATAGCTGAAACAGCGTAGTTATGAACTAACTCATGTATAGTCTTGGATTGAAATCGTCAACTATGCACTTTTCGATCCTTCAGTCTCAGCGAACGACAACGAAGATTCTATTGGATACAAGATTAAGATGCAGATCGCATTGACCGCTCAGCAAGAGCAAATCCTCTTAGAAATTGGAATTGGCGCTGCTGACGCCGCTGACAGACCCCCAGAGAATTTAACAGACAAACGAGTGAAACGTGCAAGAGGCAATGAACGTGAAGAGCGCATAAAGGAAATCTCAGAGGATCTTATCCCACTTCTACCTAGGCTTTTCAAGAAGTTCTCGTCTGATCCTGAAACAGCGTGTAATGTTCTTCGGTATCATAATTTCATTAATCTCGACATTTATCAGCAACTGCGACAGACTGTGGCATACCAGGACGTTTTTGACACCATTTGTAAAATATTCACGTCCTTCGACAATGCGTCGATTGTCCGAGAATTCGCTCAGGCAGTTTTACATGCTCAATCTTGCGCCTACGTATCCGAAATTGTTGAGTCGCGCATTAGAGACCTTCAAGACGACCTTTCCACGGCATTCCGTGCGACTGTGAAAGGATTGGAAAATGACCTGGCCACTACGGTGTTCACTAAGGATGCATTGGCCGCTATCACCACCGTTCTCACCAAACTCATGCATGTGTCGTCGATTACAGATACTTCCGAGGCTCTGGATTATACACCGCGCGATACGGAAATCCCGAACTTAACGATTATTATGGCGCTTCTCGAACGGATTGCTTCGCCGGACGAAGATGAAGTCGACGCCTTGTGCGCCGGCGTTTCAACGTTGCGGTTTTACGTGATGTGGCGCGTGAAGCGGGCTATTGATCTCAGGTCGACGGCTGCCTTCAATGACTTTAGGAAAAAGTTGGACGAGATCATGGAAAGATTCGAACGCATCATTTTGTCTCATGCGCATCTAAGTCTGAGACACACCGTATGTATTGCTACACTAATACCGGCTAGCTTGAGTGCTCACGAATATAGGCGATATGCGCAACAATTGATATGATGGTCTCCCTGAACGTCCTAGTCAAGAGGGAGAATTTGGCTCACATGGGTATCGACGTGGTCATTGTACCCAAACTTCAGAAGGCAATAATGCATATATTTTCGCGAGAAAGAAAAGCATACGCGAAGTCTGCGAAGATTAAGCTTTCGTCTGGCGGATCAATGTCCGCCGGAGCTGTTGGCGAGGGTGCAGTTGAAGAAAATGCTGATGAAGAAAGCAATCAGAGTAGCGACTTGGAAACGCTTGGTAAAGAGGACGAGGATGAGGACCGTGAGGAGGACGACGACAAAGAGGCGCTGACTGAAGAGGCGGTGACCGAAGAAGGTAAGACTCGATAGAGGATTCAGATTGGCATATGGCTTGTTAACTATGGATTAGCTATGCAAAACATCGAGACCGAGATCAGGTTGTGTGAGCTTACTGGCAAAATTGTTCTTGGTGTGCTAATTGGCTCCATGGACCAAAAGTGGGCGACGCGACTCCTCCATAATTCGAAAGCGTTAGGGGCAGGATATGACCGAGTTGTTAATGAATTGAGATCTGTTGTGGTTGCAACCGAAAACCAGAAGAAGTAATCCAGTTGCGCAGTTGCTTGCTATGATAAAACATAGATGTGAGCCTTAGTTTTGTGTACTGGGGATTTTGTACGAATATATGATGTATGAATACCGTGCTGCTTTGCAATAAGAATGTAAACTATTGTGTGATCTTTATTAGTGGCTATTGTACAAGTACGATATATAAAACGCCAGTGTTTCCTATCCTACAACGCATCGTCGAGATGCAATTTTCGTTGGTTCCGCTCCACCATCGCCCTGTACTTGCCAATAACTTGTTCTCTTTCCGCCTCTAATGCCAATCTCTGTGACAATGATCCCGCTTTCTTAGGGACGTTCACCAACTTTTTTGACGGAACTTTCAAGACCGGTGGTGCAGCTGCAATTTCTCCGAACTTCGGAGGCGCGGGTCGAGACAACCTCTTCCATGGATCAGGCGAGCTCGAACGCTTCGTTTTGAGCTCCATGTATCTCCGCTCCTCTGCCTCATTGTCGCTGTAGTCTACACCGTCGTCGTCGTCGTTGTCTTCTTCTTCTTCTTCTTCTGCGGCAGCTCCTTTCTTGCGCTTTGACCGTAGCGGTTTTTGACCATTTGCTTCTGCGATTTCGCGTTTCTTCATTTTGCGGATTGCTTCCATTGATGGGACTCCTGATTTCGCTCGCACGACAGGTAGCGCTTCGTCGACTCGTCTATGACTATATTAGCGCTCATGCTATAATAGCGACAAATCGATCAGGATCAGAGCGGCCTACCTCGTAAAATCAGCATACGATTCACCAGGCAACATCTTCAACTCCTCCCGCTTCCTAACCTCACTCCTCGCC